TTAAAAGTGGACATGTCATTTGCCACATTCAAGGGTCCTACCTACCATGACAGTTTAAGAGTGAGGCTATATACTGCTGTTAGTGACCCAGCAAATTAATCTTGACATGCTTCATGCTATCACACTCCAATTCTAGTGATTTCTCTCCCTGCAGCGGTTTTTTCCTGTACTTTCTGCATATGTTAACCAGTAACCCAAGCAGCACAGAAGCCAAAGACGTGCAGGGCTGTTGGACGACAAAGAACAGGCATGTCATCCTCTGGTAGCTTCAGCCTAGAGAACAAAGACAAGTTCACCAAAGCTAATAAACCTATTAAAAACACTTCTTTAGTGCAACCTTTCATTTCAGAAGCAGGAAAACCTGAGTTGTAAATGACAAGAATCCTACACTACCAACTTCTGGGCTATGTTCTGTCTTACATTGCTGACTAATTTGCCTACTAACTGTTGTTGTTTATTTGCCTAACCATAACACCAACGCTGTTCCTGATCTAATCTGATCCTTTTCTAGGAAGCTCTACTGTAGACCGAGAAGATATCCCAGCCAATTTGGTGAAAGACATCCGAAATTATTTCCAAATCAGCCCAGAATACTTCTCCATGCTGCTAGTCGGGAAAGATGGAAACGTGAAATCCTGGTATCCTTCTCCAATGTGGTCTATGGCAATTGTGTATGATCTGATTGATTCCATGCAGCTTCGGCGTCAGGAAATGACAATTCAGCAATCGCTCGGCATGCAGTGCCCAGATGATGAGTATGGTGGGTACGGTTACCATAGCTATCACCAGGGATACCAGGAAGGTTACCAAGATGACTACCGTCACCATGGAAGTTACCACCATGGATACCCATACTGAAAAGAACAACTTAGCCTCTGACTGCCCTGTGTCTGTTTTCTAATAGCTATCCAAGCAATAGGTGGCCAGATGCAGAAAGTCTTCCTATGCCACCTAAATATCCATGCCTCCTCCTCCCACTGTTCAGTCAAGGGACTTTGGTCATTTGCCTTCTCAAAAATGCACAAGCCTTTACAGTGAAGCAATTCAAACCAGTAGTATGACGCTTTAAACAATAAAGACTCCTTTATATTTTCAATCCTTTATAAACAAAGTGCATCAGCGGTTGCCGTTTTTTTGCATTAAAACCAAAACAAAAAATCCCCACAGCCCCAGTCCATGGACACTACTGTAGGGCAGGCCATGAACTGTACAACAGACATTGCAATGCTCTTTTTAATGTTTTTTTTTCCTAAGGAGATAAAAATAAGTATATTTATTGGAAAGTGAGAATTTTGCATTGTGCTGATGAAGACAAGCAAAGGACACTTCAGGACTCTCCCAAAAAAGGAAATTTTAAGACAGACGCACGGGGCAGGTTCTTTAATAACAATTTAAAAAACTCTTTTAAAGTGCCTTGTCTAAAAAAATAGCATCCTTTTTATAGTACATCAGCATTGTAATTAGCTGACTTTACCAATGAAAATAAATTTTTATGGCTTCGGCAGGTTTTGTTCCAATACAATACAATGGAAAGTTCGCTTAAACACAGAGCTTGCTGCATGGCCATTTATTCTTTTAATCAGGGTCCCTGCTCTCTTAGGTCCTGCTCACTTGATAGTTAAATCCAAGCTAATGAGCGCTAGGTTGAACCACGAGCCATAGCTAGTATTGTCTGAATTACAGAAAAATGAAAAGTGTTATTTTCACCAGAGTAAGAAGAAAAAAAATCTCTCATTTGCATATATTTTAAATGAGTTGTAACCAGCTCTCTATAGTAATGTTTTAATTAAACTGCTCCTCTAAATTTCAAATTTCCTTCTACCTCTTCTTCTCTTACCGTTCCCAATGCAAGAAAAAAAAACCCACAAAGTTATTAAAGGTGTTTGGGAATAATTTGATCTGCTACTCAACTAGCTCTATTTCTGCCACACCTTCTGAAATGGTTTCCTTGTCCTTTCTCATTGGGGTTTTTTGGACGTTGGATCTGTTGTACCATCACACTCTTGAAATCAGTAGTACAAACTGCACGCACAGCCATGACTTCAATATAGTTTGGGATAGATTTCTAAACATTAAAGACTGAAGGAATATTCTGAAGTGAAGGCCTCATAAAAACCTTTCTAATGGCACAATGGTCACTTCCAATGCAGAGGGCACACCTGCCCAGTCACATTTCTTTTTATAGTTTGTGACATGGACGCATCCTCCCTCATGGATGCATGCAACAGAGTATTCTTATTAGGTTCTTCCAACACAGCAGTAACATAGGAATAGGTAGAAGCTACACCTCAAAACTGGCAAGAGCATGCTCCACAGTGTGGTGTCTAGCATTTTCTTCCTCCTTTTTTCTCGCACAGACAATAACAAGACTGGGTAAATCAATAGTTTCACTCAAAATCAGATGCTTTACTTAGAAACTTAATCAGAAAAGGTCAGGCCCTGCTTGCCCTTCTGAATGCCAAGAGAGCAAACACATATATGAAGAGGTCACAGGGCCTGATTAGTTCTTTCCTAGCACTATAATCCTAGTTACCCTCTGGGACAGGCTGCCCTCAGTGCCAGGAAGTCTAGTCAGCTCAGAGCACAGCTTCAGACTTACCTCCCTCTGGTTCATGACTGAAGCTGAGCACAGAAGGCGGGTATTTGAAGGAACCATTTTGAAAGGACTGCTGTCTGCAGAGGGCTTCCATGCTTTCCCTTATCTACAGTATTTCAGCAATGGCAGGGACAGGGAAATTCAAAAAACAAAAGAGGAACGATAAAAAAAAAAAATCACGGTACCAAAGTGTTTCTAGAAAAAGTATGGAAGGTCCCATAGCACTGTTTCAGAAAACAAGTGCTTATTGCATCAGTGTATTGGGGTTAGCTGCCTAATTGTCTTGGCCTAAAGCAAGAGCAGAGGAGAGTGTGCCAGATGCCTTACAGCTACCTCTTGTAAACAAAAGAAGAAACCATTTTGGAGCATTTTCTTTCAGGTGTTCACTTCAACTTTTTCTGCATTCTTGTTTTTCATGTAAAGTCTTTAAATGAAAGCCATTTTAACTCACATTACAAATCATGAGTTGGTAGAAACTGGTATTTGGGGCCGAGCAGGAGGAGAGAATTAACTTATCAAAAGAGAGGGCAATACCTGATCCAAATTGCACGTTTTTGCAGAATTCAAAGTTAAGTTATGCATGTACCAAACCCAGCCCAGGCATTCCGTGGGAGTTGCATTGAACGAGATAACTCCAAACAAGTTGTTCACTTAAAACAGAGGACACTGGGGGTTGGGATGGGCTCAACCAAAACTGCATATTTGAATGCCCACTGAATTTGAGGAAGTCTCAATATGATTCTACATCCTGGGGCTGATTCCTGCCTTCATTACAAACTGGCTCAAAATTACTAGGAACTTTTAGGGATGGTTTAAAATGCTGATTTTGCAACCCACCTCTCCCTATGGAAAACTAAAAGCAAAGCCTGAAGAAACACCAAGCCAGAGAGTCCTTTCAACAACACTGTATAGCTATCTTGAAGACTACAAGCATTAGGGAGCTACAACACTCCAAACTGAGACTTCACTTTATCAAACATAGGTCAGATTCAAAGCACTGGCTATGCCCTCCTACAGCATCACCCCGAAAACGGGTTTACTGAGTTCAAGGGCCTATTTTTACAGTTCTTAGTGGGAAGATTGCACATGATAAAGAAAATTATTTCAGAACTTCTTTCTTACATATGTTTCTGAGATTTGATTCATCTCCAGCATGGCTGTTTTCATCCAAGGCTGTCTTCCAAGCACCATGGCTCAGCTGCTACATTCACATAGTTGAAATTAACCCAAAGAAAATATTGCTTTAATTGGCTTGTCTTAAACAAAAGAAATAAAACCTCTCAGGAAGAGAGATGTGTTCATGAATTAGTTCCTTAAACCTGGGGGTAGGAATGCAACATTCCCAGCAGCTATTAAGTTCAAACATTTGTGAATCTGGACACTGTATTACATCTTAGAAAGAGCTTACTCCCTGCCCAATGTTTTCATTAAAGACTACGTGGCAAAGTAAATGCTGAGCTCCAAAAATTTCCTCATAAAATTCCCTATTGTCATCTGAGGAAAAAAAAAAAACCATGGTTTCAGACATGGACTATGTGAACAACCATAGAGTAGAAATACTTACCCACTGTCATTGCAGTGGGATTCACATGCAAGGTATAGCTCTATAGAACACCCTCCTGGCTAATCATGGCTGCTGTCTAGCTAACAATGGTTTAATCATTTCCTCTAACAAAACTCATATATATATAGTATTTTTGATCATCTCCATGGACAGTAGAGCAGACTGAATTGCACGGTTTTTTATATATATATATATATTTTTTTTTTTAAACTTTACCCACTCACTGCCCAGTTGATGCAAATCCTTACTCATTTTCAGGCAGTAGTTAACATTATTGTTACTGCTAAGGGGATATACAGTTCTCATTATTAAAATAAACCTGCCTGGCAAATCCAACAGAATCTCAAAATCAGTAAGCAGGATAAGAGCTGGAAAAAAAAAAAAGACTAGGTGCACTTTATATAATTTGCAGATCATTTTTTTCCATCTCTCATTTCTTTTCAGGCGGATATGCGAGTCAGGAAGGTCAAACATATTGTTCTGAAGACACTTAGCATTGGTTTGTTTAGATGTCTTTAGAGGTATGAGGCTGATTTCTATGTTTTGACTTTACATAAGCCAAAGCTCTCTGGAAAAACTGATGTAAAATGCTACTGCTCATGTAAGTGCAAAGCAAGCTATAGCTAACAGTTCCTTACACTCCTCTTGGAAACACTTGCTAAAGTTCGTAACTATGATTGCAAAGACATTGAACTCAGGCAAGTATACATTGCAAAGCTGTATGTAATGGTACAAAAATGAAAATGTCTTACTACAATTAAGGCTTTACCAGTTTGAGGTTTTTTTTTTTTTTGCATTAAGATTTCCTTTCTCAAAACAGGACATCACACATCAAAAAAATATGCTTCTGGAATTTATATTCAAATATGCTTTTCTAATCATTTTGTGCAGATTCAAGCAATTAGTATTCTTTCTGTTGAAATGAGCTACTCTACAAGCACAACCATGAGATCAGCTGTAAAACTTTTTCCAGCTCAACATTGCTTACAATGTCATCTCATATAAACAACAGCAATTTCATTTTGTATAATTCTTCTTAAAATATTCCAGAAAAAGCTCATAATCCAGGAAAAAAGTGACAAGTCAGAACAGTAATTTACATTCTTAGTTTATAACCTGATAGTCATTGGCAACAGTTGGAAACAGGCTGTCACTCTTGATGGATCAATGACAGGAGGTACATTAATTATAAGCCATCAACACAGCATGCATAAGTAAGCTGTTAGTACACAAGGCCTGGAAACAGGATGGCAAACAGGAACAGAGGCAGAACTGTCTTCAGCCCTCAGAAAAATACATCAGTAGCTGATTACTATACAGTGTGGTATGAGGCTTTGAGACTGAACTCATTACATATCCTCTTAAGAATTCTTTCGACAGTATCTTTCCACTAAAAAAAGACCCATTCATTAAGGGAGGAAATTATAAGCTAACATCTTTTCCACTGTTCTGAGAGAAGAGGTTTTAAGGACATATCAAGAAACTTTTTTCTGTATCCCCATTCCTTTTCCCCTTCTCTTTTTAAGATTCTCTACATTATTTGGAACCTATTTTTCAATCTCACTCAAAAGCCAATCCAGTGAAAGTCTCAATGATTCTGAGATTACTGCACCTGGCACCCTGCAAAATGGTTTCTCTACCTCCCCCTCCAAAATGGGCATAAACCTTTACCAGTCTTACTTGGTAAAGCATCACCGAACGAAATTGTCACCTGCACCCTCTTGCTCATGCTCCAGAAGCTGTAGGGCATCAGAGCAGCTACATGATACTTGTTTTCATGTAGCAGTCCCAGCGCAAGGAAGTCTCAACACATAGCCTTTTTAAAAGCAAAAAGAGCCTATGGTGCCCTCAAATTGTATAACAGACTTTTATTTTATTCAGGCTCTTTCAAAGTTATGCCAAATAAGCTGCATGTAAAAGTCAGCATTTGCTACAAAGGCACTCCATATTTCAGTTTCCCAGACACTGGGAGACAGGCACACAACAGTCTCACACTGAAAATGTGAGGAGAGCTAGTGGCTAAAGTCAGTGAAATCTCTTCTGCTTTCAGTCACATCAAAGAAAATCGGAAAGAAAAGGACTCCACAGGAGCCAGCACAGAATTACACCGATGAAAAATTCTGATGGAGACAGAATTAAGATCACTCAGATCAAACTCACGCTCCAAAGACCTGCCTGTTTGAAGGATCAATGTATCTCTAACCCAAATTATCTGACTTATATATTTCTCAAGTGAAAGCCAGATGAGACAGGTCCAGAAGGAATTGTGCTTAACTCAGCCAGTTAGTTATCTGAATTGCCAAAACGCCATAAAAAATATATATATAAATAATGAGGCAAATTGATTAAGTTATTAGTAACATCTTAATTACTAAAAAAAGAGGAGCATTTGTACATTTGAAGATGCTGCAAAAACATTCATCAATCCTCATATCACTCCTGCAAAGTGGGAAACAGTTTTATCACCTCTGTTTTACTAACCAAGTAATTCATATAGGAAGTTGCAGTGTCTTGGGACATTTGACCAAAGCTGTGGAAGACATGGGGTTAGAACTCAGGAGCCCTGGTGTTGTTCAAGTAATATTGCTTCAGTCAAATCTAATGTACTTTTCACTTCTCCCACGCACCATTTGCTTCTTCCGTTATTGCTAAAATGTAGACCAGCCAAGTAATTCTACAGCTAACTACTTTCACTGCTGTGATCTCTTAAAATAGCCATAATTCTAAAACATATTTTCAAGCAGCATTCACAGTCCAGGTTGGTTAGATCACATTTTCATTCAATTAAAATCAAGTCTATTAAAAAAAAAGAGTTGAATCTTAACCTGATAATGTTTTTTTTTAAAGTTTAAAACTCTGTATTTACAAATAGTGTAAAGTATAATTCCAACAGACTTCTAGATAATAAAAAAATCCTTATGTAGCAATGAAGTACAAAGAAAATTGTTAGTATACACTGAGGGGCAAACTGCAATTCCAGAGAGAGCAAGGATGAAACTGTTTCACTCGAGAAACTATAAGAACCAGGTGAGGACATGACGCCTACATTTCTAAACATTAGGAAAACTCTTCTTCCAGTTTGCAATGCCAGGCACACTAGCAAACAAACAAATCCCAACTGTAAATAAGCATCATATCCCATAAGCCTCAAGTTCTGTAAATCATTCAATAAGAAGTTAATTCTGAAATCACCTCTCAATAAAACCAGACAAGCCTAAGATGCCACCTGACTCAAAGTCTTGGAAATATGTGCTTATGTAATGCTTCTCTTCTGAAACCATTGTTTAAGTGCTAGGGGGAACACTTCTTGGAACCAAAGAGTTTTCAGGAGCAGGCTCTCCCATTTTGGTCACAAGTGTATTTTGTCCACAAAGTCCTAAAGCATGGAATACTTGGCTGCCAGCTATCCAAAGGCAATGGAATCTCACCTTCAGCACTGCCCTCCACAACACCACATATGTCACCCAGACAGTTAAGTCCAGGATTCAACCCCTCTCTTTTTTGCATTAGTTTTAAACAGTGTTTATTTCAGTGGCTTCAATGGAAAGAAGAAAGACAGCTCTTCATACATATGGCTCAAAGGAAGAGTTTGAATGTTTTCCTCATCCATCTCTCATATCCAGCCCATAAATATTCTCCATTGCTCTGCAAGTGGGGAAAAAGGATCTTTCTCTATGTTAAATAAACATTAACATTCTCTCACTATGAGTAATAGCACTCCTCTGAGCCAGCCTCATGCTAGAGTGAATCTTCATCTGTATCAATGTCACTGCTTGGTTTGTTCAGTCTCTCAAACTCTTCTCCATCCTACAGGAATCAGAAGCAGAAGAAAATGACATGAGCAAATGTTATCTTATTATTAATACAAAAAAAATTTAAGGAGACAAAAGCAGCTTGTTTTGAAGGAGTCTGGTCTATAAAAATCAGTCTTGTAATTCAAGCCTTTTATGGGTATGTTAAAATCCTTCTCTTGGATATACAGGGGATTCTTTTTATGAGCAGGTACTTGCAATGCTTTTTAGTGACTCTCTCCCTGAAACAGCTTGTAGCCCATTCTTTCATCAGAAAATCTGCTCACATAGTGCTATTTATTTTTATCACGGCTGCTGAATTGTAAGGGTTAAAAAAAAATACAACACCTGGTATACCAAAAATATATGACTACATGTTATTTACTGCTCGTTAAACAACACCCTGAAAGGGGACCATATGATACTGCCAGGAAACAGCTCTTCTTTTCCAAGCTGAATATTTCCTAGAATTGAATGAACATAGCACACTCTGCTGGTTGCAACATGTATTTACAGAGCACATATGTACATGCAGATACACACACACACACACTAACCCCTTCCCTCTCAGATTGACTTCTCCGCTCAGTTGAAAGAGATGCCTAATAGCAATCCCACTCTACCACGTTCTAGTTGTCTAGATTACTGTTCAAAGAAGGGCAAAAACCATAAGAGGATCTGGAGAAAATGTCTCGTAAGAAAAATCACGTCAAAAATCTGTATAAATGTTACCTTTTTGTCTTCAGATATCTTTGAATGTTAAGGTAGAAAGAATTTTAACATCAAATTTATTAATTTCTTCATGAGATGTGCTCAGCTACGCACAGATTTATCAGTTCTACTTCAGTATAATTAGTTCCCAGACATCAGCTCCAATTCCTGGCTGCCCAGCACCAATAGACTATTTTCGTGATAAACGTTTTGGGAGAAGATTTGTACCAATCTAAAGTGGCTCACGAGATTGTCTAAAGTCACAGCAAGAAAACAAGGCTTAATTAGGTCTCACGAAGGGAAAAGGCGGGATATGCAAAGCAAAAACCTACCAATTTAAGAGACGTAAACTAATACCGAGGAGTTTTGGTATTTGAATTGAGGGATGAGTCTTGTCACACACACAACAAATTTTCTAAGCATTCCACAGTGTAAACAGATGTGAGGCAAAAGAGAAACAAGAGAAAACAAGTACTAAAAAGCCTTACCCCGCTTGACCTCTCCCATGTGTCTCCTTTTAAGAGTCTGCCCCTTTCCCGCAGAGTGGAATATTCCAGGCCTCGAGGTTTACTGGCGTTATAGATGAATATGGAGAGAAGCACTACAGGAGCTTCCAAAAAGAACTCTAGAGAAGGCCTGAAGTCAAAGATGACGAAAGAGACTGCGGTGATGATTACAGTGGTGACCTGAGCAGTCATAACGTGGAACATGTTGTCTCGGAACTTCAAGATGAAGGCTACGGACAGCCCCAAGAAAGCTGTGGCAAATATAAGAGCCACCGAGAAGACGTTGTGCCCATAAAAGAAACCACAGCTCCCTATTTGCCTCCGGTCCTTAGCCTGCAGCCCCAGCATCAGCCCATTGAACATCACCCCAAACGCATACAGTTTACTGTTCTGCACAAAAATGCTTTCAGCAAGCTGATCCCCACCTTTCAAGATCTTTTCGTTGTAGATGTTAGCCAGAGCAGAAATGAAACACTGCACTAGGATAAGCAGATGGCCCAGACTCAGGTGGAGGGGTCTCAATGCTCCTGCCATGGTAGTGGTGACATTCCATTGAAAGCTGGGAAGGAAGCTTGATGCTACACAGTTGCCCTTTTCCGGGCACGTTTCCTCCGGTCCAGCATAGAGGAGCCAGTGGTTAGATGGGCTAAAAAACATGTTGTGATGGAATCCGTGCACAGCTAAGCTTTGCTGATGGCCTCCAGTCCCTAGAGTCAAGGCAACGATGGACAGGAATAAAATCACCAGAGATGCCCATTGTACCCAAGAGAGTCGTCGCCTGGAGTAGACAAAAAAGCCAAAAGAGGTAGACAAAAGAGTAGACAAAAGAGGTGTCTTTGTTCAAAGTTGAACACAAGCGTCCTTTTGAGTAGTGTGTGAAAGCTAATTTTCCTTTCCCCCCAGCCTTTTATGCATCTAAATTGCACCATGAAGGGCACAACACAAGTCAGCGAGAGACAAACGTACAAGATAGAGTCTGCTTTCTGTCATACGAATAACGAAGGGAATTAAAGTTACTTTTAAAAATATACTGTGCAAGTTGACCGGAAATGCATCAGAGATGGCACAATTTACTGGATATACTTCTGTCTTGCACTCTTACACATTCCATCCCCTTGTTAAAGTACATTTACATTCAATTCAGAATTGCAAGTTTGGAAAGTAATATTGCTAACCATGAAACATGAGATTTAATGCATAAATGAAGGTACCCAAACCTGAATTTTAATTTTGACCATCTAGTAACAACATAATTATGATTTCAGTTGTTTTCCATTACAGCTCACTGAATTTGGAGAGATGTAGGGGCTCCTAATAAGATATTATTTCCAGCACTTTCATACGCAGAACAAAGCCATCTTTCCAAGCTGGTACAACCACGAGAAAATAGAATTACTCTTCTTGCCAGATTGAGAAAAATCCAGCATAACTTCTTCAATCAGGCTAAGACGACAAAATTTGACGTTTACTTTAACAAGTACTACTTACTTTAGCACTATCCTGAAGAGAAGAGCTGTCGTTATAATGACAAAATTTGAGAAGAGTACGGCCATTGCCTATAAAGAGAAGAAGGGGAACAAAGTTATACTCCAGACAATAGCATGATCATCAAAAGCCCACCAGCTAAGAAGGTTCACCATTCTTCCAGAGGTCAAAGGGAAAAGGATCATCATGGTACTGAACCTTCTTCCTTAGCCGAGTAGTAAAAAACATGTATGCTCCTACATCACGCTGAAGTCCCATTTCAAAATCTCAAAGTACAGAGCCTAAGTTTCTCCTTAGTGGGAAAAGCGGCATAAAGATGCGAGAAAACCAATCCAGTCGAAAACTAACTAGGTAAAAAAGAAAATGCTTTAGTTTTCTGCCAGAGCAGTTCCACAGCCTGGCCACAAAAGGAGCTGTGCCAACACAAAGGAGGAGATTGCACTAAAATGAAAACACGAATCAAAGAATAGGAGGGGGTGAGGCTGCTTCCGGTAGCAGTGCCAGCTTACAGCGTTCATGAAATCCCAGACTGTCAAGCGCCTTTGCTGTACCATTTATTAAAGATAAAGGAATGCTTGGCTTGAATTTTCAAGACTGCAGCTGTACTCAAAATTCACCTATTTCAAAGCACAAACGAAGACAACTCTAAAGCTCCTGTTTAATTTGGGGAATAAGCATATAATAATGATACTGCCCTAACCCACTGTCATGTTCCCAAGCTGCAAACACCTTGTGGCAAGGATCATCTTTTCAGTTTCTTTGTCTTGGGCTAGCATCCCAGTAATACAGGCTCTTTTAGGCATTGCAGTTATCATTAAAAATCAGAATCTGCCAGCACCAGTGGAAAAAAAAGTTCCCCCTCCCCCCAAAGCGTTTTATTCAGGATTGCCCCATACAGCCATTACTGAGGAATGACAATTACAAAAATCTAGGTACCTGAACTCTTTCCTCCGTTCAACCTTAGAGTGAGATCACTTTCTTAGACAATTTTACACAAAAGCATTTATGGATTCAGAAATGGAAAACACAGAATTTATGTTGCAACTCTCTCATCTACGTTTTACATTCCCAATTCTGCAAAAGCAGAGGTTTTTTTAACCTACCAGAGGAAAAGCAGAGACTCTTTTTCTATTAGTTCCATTCTATTCCAACGTACTATCTGCTAAGTAATAAATCTCACAGAGCAGCATGACACAGGTTTTCAAGTAAACTGAAGACTGACATGAGACATCCACTTAAGAGAGCATGGCTTAGTTTTCTGCTTCTGACATTAAGACTCAACTAAAAATTCATGTTAGGTGAACATTTTGGAAAAACATTGAATAAATGGTGAACCTGGGACTGGCAGAAGACTGGCACTCTGGAAGAAATAGGCTTGATGCAAAATTGATGCACAAATGGTCTACGAATGCTTTGTTTATCTCACAATCAAAGCCCAAGTCAACACCTTTGGTAACAAAATATAATCAAAATCTACAGCACGATAGTTACAAAACTTTCATTTTGAGTTGTCTGTCTTGTTTCTGGAGGCCTCAGAGAACAAGACAAGTAGGAACTAAAAACAGATTTGCCAAAGATCACTGTGCTGCTAACCTACGTACCACAAAGCCTCTAAAGATAAAATCTTATCAGTAGGAAACATTAAACTTCAAGGCGGGGGGGGAGGGGAGCTCAGCAAAGAAACTCCATACGTTAGGCACCTGCTCATCCAAGTACTACTTAGTCCCAAAGCCACTTAGTTTTCAAAGTCATATGAAACCAGGTTCAGTGAGGTTACAAAGTATATCCAGATAAAGAGTTAAAAGATATCAAATTCCTAAAGAGGAACCTTAAAGTATGTGTTCAAGAGGAGAGACAAAAGTGTATGTGCATAAAATGTACGAACTGTGCTTTTTCTAAACGATCACCTTAACCAAGCCAAATCAAATTGCTTTCAGAAAGTAATTGTGTTAATGCAGTCTTTCAAACATCAGGCTTTGCTAATATTACAGCCATTATAATTGAATTTCCTTCCCAAAGAAGCAAAAACACTGTGTTTGCTATTTTAAGATGTTGAGATTGTTGATTTTCCAGTTAGGTTCTTTTTCAGACTCTGTTCTGTCCCTGCCAGAAACGTGCACCTAGAAGGACAATATTTTAAAGAGGAAGCCTGAAAAAGAGGGAACAAAAGCATTTATATTAATCTGTAATGCTAAACGGGGGTAGCCGCAGTATTTTGTAGTGAGGACTAACCATCTGCGTCCATTTAACTTCAAACGGATTTTGAACCAAAAAGAATCCCAGTACTAAAAACAGAAAGCACAAACACTATTATTTCCTAAGCATACGCAAAATCATCCAAAAGGCTGATTGGAGCTAAAGAAAGTAACAATTAAGTTCCATGTTTAAAGATAACTAATAAACAAACGCAAAAATTAAGAGCCAAACATTTCTCTTCCTCCCCTCCTCACTCCCTATTAGGCTCACTTACGCTGGAGGTTTTCTTTGGAATCAGTGAGGAAAGAAAACAAGTCATCACATGGAGTTACATAGAGACATTAGTGATAGCTGCACAGAAAAGTACAACTCAAATACTAGCAAGATGGGCAAACGCATTGAAAGAGAAATACAGTGTCTAAGAAACCAAAGAAGGGAAATCACCAAAAACCTCCCTAGTGCTTAAGCAGTTCAGCCTATTTCCAAATTGCTTAGGGCTAAGAAATACCAAAGAGATCCTCCTCTACTGAGAGCTGTAAAACAGAAATCAGTGGGCAGGAGAATGGAAAGGGCTAGTTGGTCGGATAACAGATCATTCCTACAAATCTTCCCTTACCTATGTTACAACTGTAGATAGTCTAAGTGCCAGGTTATCACTCAGAGTTTGGAAGATACTTTATTCAGTACATGTATACTTACAGGCTGGAGGTAGGACAGGACGTAGAAGACAATCAAGTTATCCAAAAAGTAAAGAAAGGCAGGAATTGACCATTTCATGGAATTACAAAAATTCTTCCACGAAAGACATTCAAAGTGATGATCCAAACAACCCTCTGAAAGGAAAAGACATCAGTAAGACAGACATCCCGCTTACCACCAAAAGCCTGTTCCAACCCCCTCATGACAGAATAGGTATCACTGTTCTGTTTTCAATAGCACTGTCAGACTGAAAAAGCAGGTACCACAGCCTTCTGGCAACATAAAGGACAGATCCAAGGCAGAACATACAACTAGAGCAGCAAGCAAGCCAATCTCTATGGGCATTCACCTCCTTCCTTCAGCAGAGAAGCCACCAAGGAACCTTCTAGTACCATTAGAATGGGAATAAAAATGAAATTATCAATCATTCTTTAAGGGCCAGAAAGCACCCCTAAATGCCCATGCAATAGTCAGATCATTACTAGGTGACTTTCTGATAATCATCATGTCTAGATGTGAAATAATGACCCAGACTACAGACCTGTTCATATAGTACCCAAAGGGCAGCCAATAATGTTAGAGAGACAAAAATAAACCAGAAGTCAGTATTTATATCACACTAGCACACAATCTAGGACAAAAGAGAACATATGCCAAGAAAGCCCAAAGAAAGGATAAGGTACAAAGAACGACATCTGTTTAGGTATTTAGGACACATGACTTAAAAAGAAGAAGATGGTGTTAAACTTTAGACTATGCTAGAGTTGATGACAGAAGAACTTTGTTAACATAGACTTAAGACTACACAATGTTATCTAATCCTCTTCTGGAACTCCAAGACATTGAGTTTGGCAAAACTCTGATGTCTGGAAACCAAAAAAAAGGAAGAAGAGATTTAAGAAAATGTGGAGTCAGCAGTAGCCAACAACAGCAAACACGGTAAACCGTATTCAGTCTTCGGTGTATCTGTACTAAATGGTAGAGGTAAGTTTCATTAGTCTGCCAGAGTCATGACTGTTACACATGGAGAAGTGGATGCATCTAGCACTTCAATTTAAGATGAAATGACAGAGTCCACAGTGCCTGACACTACGTTCCAATTTAAACATCTGTCCTTTACTGTTTTGAAATGCTGTGAAGTTAACTTCTCATCCTTTTTACATGAGGACAGAAGCTGCAGAGAGGTCGGGGGGGGGGGGGGGAAGCTATAATACAATACAAACCCAGTGGCTAATGAAGCCTTACTCTGCTTTTCCTGTATAGAGGGCAGCCCCAAGATTTGTCTTCACAACAAAGTTATATTGCAGCATTAACAGTCAAGTGTTGCTCCTTACCCAAATCCTACTACACAAACAAAGCCTCTTCACTGGAAGGTGGTGGCACTTTTGAAAATAAGTGGTCAGGATACCAGAACATAAAGGCCTTGAGTTAGGGCAATTTATAAGCTTCTGTCCAGTGCTTCTGCAAAGATGTCTTTGGGTGACTTGTTATCGTAGCCTAAGTCTCTGTCAACCCCGAAAATGTTAGACTGCATCTTCGCTACACTTCCTAATTTAGCTTACTTGTCTCCATTTCAGCTATCATACAAACAACCCAGGAGCATCTGAGTTTACAGCATAAATTATACCTTTTTTTTCATTTAGTTGGAAGTCTGCATGAAAGACACAATCCCAGCAAACATTACTAGCAGAATCTACTGCAGACTACCACATGTGAATCTGTCACAGAAGAAAAAAAGTATTTGAAGCACAACAAATCTTAAAGTCAACACATCTGAATGATTTTACATGTATGTACTTACCTTTTTTCTTAACCCATAGTGCCACTATCACACACAGCACCAGTTTTATTACTTCAGAACATATGTTCACAGTTGTAGGAAGGTAATCATATTTGTTATCTGTGGGATTCAGTAAATTGCAATGAATACACAATCATGTTCTGCCTCTTGCATACACAGTTAAAGCAAGAAACTATTTTAACCTCTCCAGCCACACGTCTATCCACTTTCCATAAACACGAACAACCATGTGTCAGCACTTTCGTTATAAATACCCCATCTTTGCTGATATTCGACTTCCTGAACATTCTCCTCTCTGGACTGAAATTTTTCCTTGCTTGCCCTCAGTTTACAGAAGAACTTTTTGGAAGGACCCAAGAGCACTATAGTTCTAAAAGATTTAAAGAAAGTCAGTGTTTTTTCCCCAAAAAGTAGCAATATGCTATTTTTTCCCCTTTCCCTAAGGAAAAGGCTTTCAGGATGACCAAGCCTTCTTTTGCCATTGTATCCTTTCTTTGTTAGCATTTAAGAACCACTTCAAACACATATTGCTAATACTTTCTGAATGAAGAAGCAGTAACATTAGACAGTTACAGTATCCATGCTATTACATCACATTCTCCTAAACCTGTTGTGAAACAAATACAACAGTCAAGATATGCAGCTGACAGTGCTTACACAATAATTCGGTCTTTGTAAACCAGCTGTAAGGTAACCCATTGCCTGATGTTTTAAGGGTGGATCTCCACATGGACCATGCACGCATCTTGCAAATATAAGTTACACCCAGTGACTATAGAGACATTTCCCTCTACAGAAAAATCTCTCTCAACTTATATAAAAGAATGGTTATGGCAAGAACTCTGCAAGTGGAGAACTAGGTTTTGGGGAATGTGTTTTATCCCAAATGTCAACTCTTCCTTATCTGAGATACGTCGTATGTTTATTGCTCAACACCACCTTCATTAGCAGAATACTTCATCAGGAGGATTCGGCTTGAGCTCAATGCAATAAATACCCCTCCTAGCAGAAAGGTACGGATGGTTGTCTTGGAGCAAAATAAATGTCGACTACTGCACTTGGTCTCCATTTTGCTGTCTTGCTCTCAATGCCCTTTGAACGACAAAAACAAAAAAACAAAAAAACACGCACTAGAACAGTACTTCCAGAAACTGATAAAGACAAGGTGAAACGCACTTATTTCATTTCATCCTATCTTATATAAAAATATATATTTTGCAAATCACCATGATTTCATTCTAGTTATCTTAGGGGAAACGAAATATGCTATGAGGACCAGCAAAGGAGGATAAATAGCACATACACAACGGCTCAGAAGGTGGCACACAAGAAAAAGCAAGTTTATTGGAAGAGTACACCTGTGGGACACTGACTAGCTAATCGGATTAAATAACCACATTTTTATTTTTCTTTAATAATTTGTATCTTTAGACACCATACACGTTCCTAATTTCGGCAAAAAAAAAAGTTTTACAACTGCAGAGTAAAACCAACACTAGATGAGTTCATCTGCAGTCCGGTTAGCTCCAGATTTTGTCCAGGTAGCGAGAGAAGTTAAGTTTACAGAGGCAGCCGTCTTAAATTGTACACGTACTACCTATTCACCAGCGCCGAAACCGTTACGCGGCAGAGAGGGATGCGCAAGGTACACGGCCAGGGCCCCGGCTCGGGCGGGACGTCCGTTAACGGCCACCGCGACAGCTGTGGCGCAGTTCCACCCTGACGGGGCCGGGCGCGGCACCCCCGCCGGTGGGGGGGAAGGGGAGGAAGGGGGGCGTCCC